CATGCTGATAGCTACTACCACATTATAGTAATTTTAAATATAAAATTTTCTCCGTGTATAATCAAAAATTATTTTATCTTTCTTAAATATTCAGTACAGTAAATGTTTCCAAACGGTTATGTAATAAACGTTATATAATACTAAATATTTACAAAACCAAATTTTTGATTATATTAACCAAATTTAATTTGCATTATTGCATTAAACTGCATTATTTGGTAATTATAATATTATCAAAATATTACTCTCTTTCTTTAGTGTACGTTAATACATTGTTGACTTTGAAACTAATCAAAGAAGTGGATTGAATATGTATTTTAATACAAATAGAAGTTAAAAATATTAAAAATATTTAACAAAGAATTGGATTACTATACTTTTATATCTAACAATGTCTTTGTTTCAGAAAACAAAAATTGTGGACATAAAACATCTTATAAAATGTTTAAAAGACATCTTATGTTCCGATTTTCGACTTTATATTATTTGGATAACTATAATGTAGTTTTGTGGAACTGCATTCAGAATCATCCCAAAACATTTTTCTCGAATATTTATCCTTCTTCTTTTCATGTAAAAAAATTTATGTACTAAGTTTGAACGAGACTATAGAGAATCATTCCTTCTTTTATCCCCGTGCGTTTCTGTTCTTCACAAAAATGACGAAATAAAAACTGATTATTATCACGCTCTGTAATATCAGTGGCTCACGATAATCCGATACGAGCGAAACCGAATGGAATATATGGATTACGCTGTACCAGGTGTTACGCAAGATGTCAACATGTGAAAACAGAAGATTACGAATTTGCATTCTGAAATGTTCGACGTCAATGTGCAGGGTAGCGATCGGATTAAAATACAAACACAGAACACAATTCGACGTATGGATTACGCACAGAGACGCGGGGATATTTATGCAAAAGAAATAAAAGTTCTATACGCGAGAGCATAAATCAACGTTACATATTAACATATTGAAGTAGTATATGCAGGATAATAGCGGCATCAGACGAATTATTAATCTCCTACCAAAATTCTTTCTTATCCGCGGTTTTCGTGGTCGATACGAGATCGATTTTCATTATTCTCAAGAGAATATATTCTTGCATTAATAATTCATTCTTGCGTTAGTAATTAATAACTCGCGCATATTGGGAAAATCATGTAAGTTTATATGCAGCAACGACGAGAGACGATGCAGAAATGACGGAAAGAAAAACGATCTCTCACATTTCATCTCGTCTCATTCCGCGTTATTAGTGTGAAGTTCATCAAGCAGTGAAGCATCAAAATTATCGAGGATTGAGGCAGGATGATTTTAACGGTGGTTCTCTCGTTAAAATGCGAATACTCGACTTAACGTAAATCATTTCGTTTAACGATTAAGTAAAAACATTCAACTGGAAACAAGAGAGGCGACCGATCGAGTGGAGAAATCAAAGTTTATGACACAACTTATGCCGTCGTTAACGTCGTGATTTATATGCAACAAGGAGAATCCGCGATTAGTCAGAATTTTTTAAAAATTTAATGTTAAACGCTAAACATGTGGATAATCAAATATTTAATTTTTGAAGAAAAAGTGCTAAAAATTGCAATTAGTTAACTTTCACTCTTAATGACAAAATATTTGTATAATCTAGATTTTAATATAAAGTAGTCTAATTATTAATTTAAAAAGAAAAAAAAAAATAATAATATGTTATCAAATTCAATTTTGAAATAATATGGAATATGTTCAATGATTTCTTATAACATCAATAAAATATATATAATAACAAAATATATAATAACAAAAACTAAGGAATAAAGCATGTATATCGAAAGCTCTAAATACATTTATTCTAGAAATAATGCGAATTCCTTTAGCTCGAGGGCGCAAATAGCAATGAACCAGAATGAATTGGCAGAAGAAAGAAAAAAGCTTTAGAATAAGAAGCTTTTGAACAAGAGTTCGGACAAGGAATAAAGTGAATAATATGGTTCAGGTGCTTATGCAGATAATTCCGTGAAAGTGTAATTCTTAAAGTGAGCGCGTGCCGGTTAATCGAACGTCTGGTTAAAACATTTAAACATTACAAGCACCGTTTACAATACCGAAATTCAAGCCACATTGCAAACTTTTGATAAATTATATCTGTGAGATCAGTGAAATATACACTTTATCTGTTATCCTTATATTATCTTGTTGAGAATCATTATTCTGCCATTCTCAATAAGTGAAAAATTTCACAAAATTGTTTAAAAATTGAAATCACTTAATACGTTCTCTGTTATATTGATCACTAAAAAGATTAAATTAATATGCATATAATGGACTTTTAAAAGCTTGTCTCTATTTGTTCTAGCTTTTAGCATGATAGATTGGACTTCATGATGACTATTCAACAAATCTTGCAACAAAACTGGAAATTAGAGAAATTGTCAGGGGAATTAAAAACGATCAAACGTAAATCAGGATATAGAGAAGTTTTTACAAAATTCTTTAGAAAATTAAAAGTCTTGGCTTTAAAGAAGTTAAAAATGCAAACAGTATCAGTAACAATAATAGTAATTTACATTGTTATGTTAAATTGATCTCTCAATAAAATATTGGATTGTCCGGAAAGTTCCGTGCCAATTTTGAAGAAAAATTGAAACGCAGAAGATTTAAATTTTAGTATACATTTATTAAATTTAAATCTTTTGCACGAACTTTCCGGACAACCCAATATTTATAACTATTTCCAAATCGGGACAAAAATACAAAAAATTTCAAGATATTATTGAAAGTTGGAGAAAATCATGAAATTTTGTCTGGAAATCAAGAAAAAGTTATAGAATTTTAGGATGAAAAATTTGTGACTCTGCTATTAAAGACATAACTTAGCAATAATCTCTCAATAATCTTACACGTAAAATTTACATACGATAGCATTCTAGGATTAAAAATTGAATAAATTATTATTACATTATTATTGTCAACGACGACGATAAGATAGTTAATGGGAAAGTAACTTTTCAAAGAATGAGAAACTTGAGCGCGAATGGAGCAGCAGGTTTAGATGTTTGGAGAGAAAGCAGCGAAGACGAATTACGTACGCGACAAATTACGTCTTCAACGCGGGTAAGATGGCGAAGCGAAATTTATAATTATGGGAAACGAAGGTCGATCGTCGCGTGAGAGAAGTCCGCGAGCAGAGTCGTTAGAGAAACGCTCACGCAAGAGCTTGAAGCGAGACGATTTCTATTGACAAAAGCGTTCTGCTCCTTAGACAAAGGCGTCCGCATTTAACTACGAACCGACCGCGTTTCCAGGCTGCTTTAGTCTACTTGCTGCAGTCTCTCTCCCGCATTGTGGAATACGATCACGGGACGACGACATTCGCGGTCCAAACCATTTTCGGAGACGCAAGCTTGCGTCGAAACATGCAAACAAACTTCGCAACTTTCGGTTCATAATCGGCGCGAGTTTGCACGAACCGTTTATGCGTTTCCACAATGATGGAGATCGCGTCGACGATTTAAAATCCATTAAGAGTTGGAACTCCCGAACAACTTTGGTCCGAAATTGATTTTTCTCTATCGATGAATCGCTGTCGTTACTGATTCCTAAAAGGTGAGAGAAATCAGGACACACGCGCGTGAACGAAAAGACAAACGCAATGCAATAATGACGTCGCTAGTACAAGTGGGAGAGAGAGAGAGAGAGAGAGAGAGAGAGAGAGAGAGAGAGAGAGAAGGAAGGAAGAGAGAAGTCCAACGAGTAGTATCGCGTAGCTACTTAAAACTTTCGGAGCTTGTCTTGTGTCCTTACTAGTTGGCACCTTGCTTACTTAGCTCGGGTCCGCAACTTACCTTCTCTCGCGCAGCTTCTCCACTGTTTCCCATTCTACCCTTTTCGGAGTTCACCCCCTTCCATCCCTCGGTACCTTTTCCTCCCCTTCTCCTCTTGGCAGCTTAAGTCGAAGTTTACCTTTGTTCCCGGCTGTCAGTTCGATATAGTTTCCGGCTACTATCGCCACTCTGCCACCAGTGCATCTGTGTTACTATGCGCACCGGGACAGCCTCGAGGTTGTAACGATATTAATCCGCTTTAGCGGTGCATTTTGAAAAGGACGATAATCGACGAAATGGTGCCGGTTGTGACGACGAGCGCGACGACAAAATTCGCGAGCGCCGCCGCGACAGAAATTACTTCGATATTTGGCTTGTAAATTTACGCGGTATTCAAATAGAACGATGATTTATACCTTTTTCCAGAGCGGAAATCAACGTAAATACAGTCACCGCGATGAGGAATGACAGCGGGCGTAAGCACAACGCCGAATACCGCGTTTGAAACAAATCGAAGTTATTACGCGTTGAATAAAATCCGCTCTTTTATAATTATATGAAATGGATTCTATTTGTATATGTATGTGGAATATATCGAAATTATAAATCTCATCTTGATATTAGATTAACGATTCGTTGATTTTTCACAATATTTTTTTTTTTTATTAAATTGAATTATATACGCAGAAAGATTTTATCAAAATAAAATTTTAGTTAAATACAAATCTGAAAATAATATTTTTTTTATCATCAGAATAATTATGCAGGACGCAAACTGGTTGCTTGGTATTTACAAAATTATTTTGATGGTTTAACAAAATTATTTTTAGATCATAATCTAATTAAATTTTTAGATACTTTAGTAAAATATCGTTCTTTAGTAAAATATCGTTCTTTCTATGTAGTTTTTGCATATAAATCACCTGTATATATGAAAAATCATTTAAAAATATGCTTTTAAAATTTTTTGGTGCTGCCATTCAAAAGCTTCTTTCAAAACACGCTTTCAGTGGATGGATTTGTTTAATAAAAAAACAGAATGCGGTGACATAACGATATATGTATCGTAGATTTTATTTCTATTGGTTTCAATTCGTAAGTAATATGAATGGGTAAAATTTATAAAACCTACATACGTTGAATAACATTCAAAACTGGTTTTTTTTTTCGTTTTGTTACAGGAAGTACAGATGTTACCGGTGTATTGTGATGCACGCGCAACATGCCAATGTTCTACAATACAAAGAAAGTAAGATAGTGCTAATTATTAAGATTCTTAAATGACTCCTTTCTGCTCCTTAAAGAATGTTTAGCTTTTTAATTCAGAGCGTCGTAAAAACTTATGCTTTACTGAATCCTGTTATAATCTTTTTTGTCTTCTTTATGCCTGATAAAATATTATTTTACATTATGTTGTTATTTTTACATTCTTTTTTCTTTCTTTTTTGTCTAGTTTCTTTTTCATCCTTTCCTTTTCTTAAAACAAACTTTATTATTATAAACAGAACACAGAACAAAAATCATCATCTATTTTTACGTCTTCATTTCTTTCTTAATTGTTTTGCCCTCAATGCTTGCAATTTTTTCTTTTCTTATATCTTAATTTATTCAGAATTGTATTTTGACCGGAAAACAAAATAAACATAATATGTTTCATCATCTCATCGTTACATTTATAACGAACGATGATGCAACATTACGTTTTGCTGTTGTTATTAGCTTATTGCACGAGCGATTCACCGGAACCGAGTCTGCTGACCCAATGCGGCACGTTGACCAGCGACGCCACTCTGGTCTCTCTGTTTCGCTCCAATGCAGCGCCGCTGCCCTGTCCCATTAAGGGTCCCCTGGAGTTCACGTACAGCCAGGGTGAGGGCGAGTGTAATTCGCCGCGGTCACGGGCGGAAGCGTGCACGCAGGATTCACGTCTGCTCCTGCGCTACCAAGCATGTGCCAACGTTCACTCGTCCGAAAGTGTGGGTCAGTACACTCTCCGTGTCATTATGTTGACATGTGACAAACTCATTTTACACAGACGAATCAGATATCAATGGTGCGCGGCTAAATACGTCTATTTAATCTTTAGACATTTTTCTTTTTCTTTTTTTTACCATATTAGGAAGGATGTTCAAATTTGTGGCTTAAATATCTGAATGGTATCCTGATGAAATATAATATATTGTAATATAAATAATGCATTAATTTATGGATCGTGGAGTTTACAAAGTAATTGAGCAGTGAACGAAGAAAATTTTGGCCATCTATTTTATATAGATATCCTAGATAGCATACATCATAGAATGTCTTAAAAATGAACAAATGTTTATAGAACAAATGTTTATGAACGTTCTATGTTCTAGAAATTTTGTCCTATATATTATAGGATGTATCTTTTGTTTTATATTCTTTCTAATTCAATGCTGGCGATTATATAAATTTGATTACGGTGTTTTCCATGGTATCTTTGATACTGTTCAACAAACAGGTACCATACAATAGATACCGCGTATAAAATAATATTATTATGCCAACATGCATTGTGCAATATCCATTTACATGGCAATTGTGTTATACCTGTTTACAAACGCTCGTAATTTGTCAAGTGAATACCTAAACAATTATGAATTATACAACGTGTGCGAGTCCAATCACTGCCTAGTGACATTTTGTTATTGGTTCATAATTAATTCGTTGCAATCTACAGTTATAAAGCGCTTGCTGAGTGCTTCAATATACTGATGCAAATTTTGAAGTACGCGGATGTAAAGTTTCAATTCAGCTTTATTGTCATCGAGTTTTTTCTCATTTATGTTTTTTTTTTTACGAAATTCCAACATTTGATTTATTTTAAATTTTCTATCGATTTTTTATTGTAAAACATGATTTTATTTAAAAAAACACAATAAAATGTGGCGAGAGGAGTAACAGCGGTCTCTAATTGTTGCGAGTGAAGGAATATTGGAGGCTAATTCCAGTTATCGGAAACAAAATCGTCATGTGATCAAATTATACGTGAAAGGAGGGTATCCCAGCTCATCGACTTGTCATGTCGTTAAGGTAGCAGAGCGCATTTCAGCGGGTAAAAAGGAATTATGACGTCGGCGGTGTTTCCGCGGTGACGTTAACATTCGCTTTGACATTAATTAACACGACGCGCAAGGCCTGTAACGGTCAATAAAGCTCGCGGCTTCGGAATGAATGATTAATGGCCTTGTCAATTACTATTTGTTGCTGGGCTTGTCCAAACGATTTTGCGCAATTATCATCGGCCCGTGCCCGATCGTCTATCTCGATACGCGGCGCGCGGATAAATGAATACAGGGCGCTGCATCGTACCACACACGTCCGCGGATCGCGTATGCGAACGTGTAATGTATAATGTGTTTTCATGTGAACATTCATATATCGTTTATCTCCGTTTATAACTTCTACAGATGGCTTTATCCGGGGACAACAGCGATAAACTTCTATTTACGAGTCTGTTACTAGGGTCGTGTAGGCTGGAGAATCATCGAATTTTCGTTCGCTTTGATATATCTTTGCAAAAGCCGGTGTATCTCGCCCGTCAACTGATAACTTTAACGCTGCAAGTTTATGTTTTCTGTAAAATCCCGTAAAAGTATATACCACAACGGCCGCGTATACATCAACGGCACCGTGTATTTCGATAAAACGAGAGGAGGGAAGGGGGAAGCAAAAAAAAAATAACAGTTATTATTGGATACGTGCCAATTTGCAGTTGTAACGTTTTGTTTTTCTAGATGTAGAATTGGAGTGTCTGGCTCATTGGAGGGAGGGCAGCACAAATTACATGGTCGCGCGCTTGCACAGTGATCGTAACGATCGTAAAACAAGCGACGAAGAGAGCTACAGATGTTTTATTTACACAAATCCATCGAACAATACATGGAACCTCGCGCAGAGCTCGGATGCTGCCTGCAACGGATTGATCAGCGTCACCGAGGCCGCCAGAACGTTCAAGATGACACAAAGTGAGTTCACCTGCATCTCTTCTTTTTTAAAACCTTCTCTGGGAATTTTTATATTTTCTAAGAGAACGTACATTTTTCACAATTCCTGTTAAGCGTACTTTAAATTATTTTAACATATCGCTTCTTTACTTTAAAAGTGGCACAACTAAAAATACGTGATTCTTTAGTTATTATCATAAATAATTAGGAAGAGTTAGGATAGTTTTTTAAAGATTATGAGATAAAAGTGACAAAAATGACATTTGATTATATTAAAAATTTCTTCAATAATGTTCTTTAATATTATTCGATTATTCAGTATTTGATTCAAGTTGAAAAATAATTTTTTCACTCTTCTGAAAATTATTTTTTAAGTTGTGACACTTGAAGTAAAAGAACGATATTTTAACACTGAATTCGTAAAGATTAAATCAAAAAATAAATAAATAAAAATGAACTAATTTAACTTTATTAAATTATTACAATTTAAAAAGGATAATTAAAAAGAAATCGTGAAAGGTAATTTTTCAAGGATTGTAAAATGAAAGTAATAAAATAACATTTTATTTGTTAAAAGTATATTCTTTTATATTATTTGATTATTTAATAATTTTCTGTCAAATTGAAACATAACTTTCTGGTAAATTATTGTTTAAATTGTGATGACTTTTGAAATAAGAGAGCGATTTAACACCGTAAAGATTAAATTTCCATTCGTAAAGATTAAATTAAAAAAAAGTTAGAAAGGAATCATTCGACTTTTTGGAATAACGTTCATCGCTCGACACGAGCTACGTTTCGGTGTTCATTGCGCAACGCGTAAGATCGACCCTAACGATCGAAATTCCGTAAGGGGTTGTTAATCGATCGGCAACGAGAGGCAACGATAGTAGATCGTATGGTAGTGGCGCGTACGGCACTACCCAGTACGAAAGCCGCCGTACGTGCGGAAGCCCCGAACCCCAAGAACGAGAGCACGTAAACTATGAGAGTGCCTGCGGACACCAGATCGGATTCTTGTCCGGCATACTAGCGTTGGCTCCGTCCGGTGGTCAACGCCAGGTACTTCGGGTATTCCATGGTATCGCATAGCTACACGTAGCCTTGCCGGTTTGGGACGCTCTTGTCGCAGGATTCATGGTTAACCATATTGAGGGCGACGAACGGACGGCTCCGATTTGATTGTCGGTCGAATAGCGCAATGTACACCGAGACGATTGGTATGGCTGAGTATTTATTGTGAAGAAGAATCTCCCTGCTCTATCGAGTAAACTCATCAAATAGGTTTTTAGTTTATCCGTTTTTGATTTTCGCTCGACACGCCCGGATTTTTTATTCGAGCGTGACGAATCTCGGATATGTTATTTTATTATTATCTCGTTATATTAATATATCGTTGTTAATTACAATCGATGAACATGTTATCGAGAAATGACAAAGCTACCACTTAATATTTCGAAATCGCGGCCACGACTGCTAGTGGAAATTCAACTCGAGCGTTAAGCAGCTTAAAAATTTTTCAGCGGCGCCCTTACCACGGCGTCGCGGATGTTTCGTTAACCCCCTACCCGGTACCACGTTTCCATTTAAACTTTCCAGGAGGCAGATTAGCCCCGGGATCTCGAGCTACGCTGTGCTTCCCGTCCCGAAGTGCCCGCCCGTGGATGAAGAGAAGCGTTATTCGCTAACGCGCGATAAATTCTATCTGGCCGATATGTAAATTTCCGTTTCCTCCTTATTCTTTCTTCTACTATTTTCTGTACACGCTTATAATCGATTCGCAAGAATTGCATGTAAATACGATGACTTCAAATGAAGTATCATCATTTAAGAAAATGATCAATATAAAAAACGAAAATATAATTAAATGTAAAGTTACAAAAGCCAAGATAAACAAGCAAAAACAGATGTAAAATTAAACGTGTGTATATTTGATAAAGTTAAATAAGTGGAATGTTTCGACTAACAAAGTCCTTCTTAGCCGCTGCAAAAATTTCAACAATTGAATACAATTGAAATAATAACAAGAAAGTTCTTACTCTCTAAATTTTTTGGAGTAAAATTTTCACTCTAATTCTGACGTCACTGACTAGTTCACTCTACATGGAGGAAGTATTCACTTTAATATAGTGAATTCTTTCACATTAAGACAAAAAGTGAAAAGTTTCAATCTTATTTTTAAAGTGAAATTGTTAATGTTCTAAACTTCACTTCAACTTAAAGTGCAGAAATCTCGCCAAATCACACCTAATGCCTTCTTAGTTCTTGTTCTCATACAAGTGTTGTTTATAATTACCAATTATTGTGTTTAGTTGTTTTGAGTGTATAAACAATGTCAAGTGTTTGACAAACTCAGGAATGAATCTATCAGATTCAACAAGCCTGTTTATACATTTGTACATACATAAAATAGAAATCAAAAGGATACGAATAGAGGTTAAAATATTTAAAGTATTTTGTATAGGTATTTTAGGAATGAAAGAAATTAATTTCTAGTGAATGTTAATAAAATGTAATAAATCGATATTCATGTCTTCAATCTTTAATATGTTTGTACAGATAAAATATTTAGAGATTTCAAGACTTAGTCTAATTAGTTTAGTTAGCGCAAAAAATGCCTACGACTTTATGATTAGGTTACAAAATATCCTCTCTCCGAGAAAAGTCACTCTTTTTAGAGTTGAAAAATAAATCCAAATGAAGAGTGAACAATTTCACTCTTTTGAAAAGTACAAAGTTCGGCCCCATTTTGATTGGCGGTATTTTCATGAATATTTGACTTTCACTCCAAAAAAGTGAGATTTTACTCCAAGAAATTTAGAAAGTATAATAAACATGATGTCAGAAATACGTAATATATAATTTAAAATGTTATAAATAAATTAAATAAATTACAAACGTCAATTTCTTTCACTTTCCTTTGTATGAAAATAAAAGTGTACGAAATTGATTAATTAAATTATAATCTTAATACCTAATCCGTTTCATCAAAGGAAAAAATATAGTTTTAAAGCGCAATCTGTATTGCTTCGCGAAAATCCGCTGTGCATTAGAATCTTTTCGGGAAATATTGTGGTTAGAGTAAGAGGAGAAGAAAGCCAGAACAGAAAGTATGCATAGTAACGGAAGAAATACAGTTATGCGAAAAACGTAGAATATCATCGCGCAGTAGAAATGCATATGCAGATACCTATGAAATATCAGAATGATAGTGAATTTTTAAAACAATCATTTTACATTTTTTATTTAACAGTTTTTTTAAATTTTGAAATATTTTTGCATATCCGTGTGTCCTTTACATTCGTATCATCGAATTCCATATCATATCTTTTCTCAAATAACTCTCCAGGGAACAACTCTCTTAGGAGTATAGTGAATTTTTAAGAAAGTTTTTATCCTCATATCCCGTATTTCAGAAGCTAGTTTTTTTTATTAAACGAGACGATTTACAAATTGACTTGGTATATACGATCATATTTAATGCCGAGGACCCTCGTTTTCTATGAATAGTATTTTCATTTTAGATTGCCATTTTCAAATAACCGCCGCCGAGGCACTGTGGAATTGCAATCTTTCCGAGGTAATGCAATGGCGTCGCATTACATGCGGTCTGACTGCAAAGGAAGATAAGAGGATGGGCGTAATTTACTTTAAACAAAGCATACGTTTCTTCTTCCATTTCGCCGCGGGCGTGACTCATTTTAATACGCATTTTGTTATAGAGCATACTTACATCACAAGACTGCAGTAAAACATTAAAAAGAAGATTTATATTTCTTTTTCGCACTTAAATTTCAAGTCGTTATACTTGCGATAATTCATATCTATTGAACACTTTGTTAAAAGTGCTTGTGACATAAAACCCACAGTGCATTATTAAATTTAATAAAACTAGTTTAATAATAAAACTAATTTTCTCTATCTTTTTACGTGAAAATTAATTTCAAACGAAAGTTGAGTCAGTTAGTGTCAAACGAAAATCCGAAGCTCATTGATTAATATAAAATTATTCGTTATAAATTACATAACTATACATGCAAATGATTATAAATTTGAATATTTCTCCGGTAAGGTAGGAGAATTTTAATTAGATACAAACCACACAGTGCGCAATTCTTTTCACGTATCACGTAAAAAAATATATACGCATAAGAAAATAATTATATCGCGGGAACGTAGATCGCATAATGAAACAATTACGCGGATCCCGCTTATTTCTTTATCGCCATCGTTACGCCTCTCTCTTATCATCCGCGGCGACGTATGCGATAAGCAGCGCAATTTCGGCGACCTATAGCGTTACAGCGCATGCATACACTCGATTGAATTATCGATTAGCTTTTAGTTGCACGCAGGCCGCTGTCGCAGTATGCAGCACGCACGCAGCATACTTTGTCGCTCGTGCATTTTTAACGGTCCATTAATTCACAGTGCATGGTGATTGATGGCCGTGAGCAACCGACCATTGACAGGATAACTGTTCGTCGGCGACGGAGCTGTCGCGCGTTTATAGCAAATTATTTGCGTCAACGTAAACCGGCCGTTGCACGTGGCATCTTTATGCATTTATTTAATAATTTTCATATTTTTTAAATGTACATTATTACGATTCATCTAATCTTTATTTTTTAACATCTTCATGAGCGCGATATGACTGCAATATTTTATCAGTAATAGCGAGGACAATTTTGAATCATTACCGCGACAATGACAATGCAATACATACCTGAATTAACCGTTATAATACAAAGCGCGTGCGCAGGCATATGTATGTGTGTTAATGAAGCTAATGAGTTGGTTAATATACATCACGTTCACGTATGACATATGTCGCTCGCGTATAATTACGCTAGTTACGAATATAACGTTGTTAAAAGTGTACTGTAATTAGCGCGAAATTATTCGCGACGTGGCCTGTCCTGTCGAATACTGGTTGATTTTATTTATTTCTTTTTTTTTTTCGACGAAATTCTTAGACGGAGCGTGCAAGAACCTGATAATGCGTAGGAAACAGTCGGCATGCCGTTGAAAACGAAGTTTATGGCGTAGGAAGAAGAGAGGTCAAAGTTTACTTATGCTGGATTATCTGCTCGAGGACCCCGTGAACTTAAAGAGTTGAGAACGAGCTTACAGTATATATTATGCATTTCGAGTTTGAAATAACTGCGTTAGGAGCGGAGGTACAGCCGTCTCTAAGAATAAAGCCGCAGCTATTTCTTGAAACGTAATTACATTTGAATTTAACAGCCGTCCGAATTTGCAATGTGGAGATGAAAATTACAGGAATTAAACTGTTGACGTTGCAGCGATAATCAACTTTACAATCTTGGGTTTCGGCTTTGAAAACATTAAAATATTTTCGATAATCGCAAATAGTAAAAGAGACAAAACTTTGCAGGATGCTGTTCAAATACAATTTTCCTCGCTGTTAAATCATAATTGTTCTGCGCTTTTTAATTTTAATTTTAATTTAATATAATTGATGACGACAATAAATGTATTGGGTTGTCTGGAAAGTTCGTGCCGACTAACCTATATAATTTAATAAATGTATACTAAAATTTAAATTTTTTGCGTTTCAATTTTCCTTCAACATCGGCACGAACTTTCCGGACAACCCAATATAAAGAAGCGTACTCGCGAAGAAGAATATTAAATACTTGGAACTCGCAAATAATTCCGATTCAATCTTCTGACAGAAAAGAATATCACGAATGCACATGTGAAATTTGCGCGTCGCGGAGAGAATGTCTCGGCGACAAACAAGAGATCCTCTGTCCACGCCCATCTTTTCATGTTACAGAAAAGCCACCGCAGCGTTGCACGTATCCGTCCTGGGTAGTGGCCGGTAAATCGTGGGTGGCTTTGGATCGAATGGCTTCCCGACTCCTGGCGTCGCCTTACAATCTCACGATTCTCGACCGAAACGAGACTCGCCTTATTTGCCATTCGGTTGTTACCATTGATGATCATCGCTATCACCATTCGACGCCAATCGATAGAGAGAATCAGAAGCAATTCGTCGCAAAGGCAACACGGGATTGGTAAGTCTATTCATAGCATCTGTGTAGAGAAAAAGTTAGGAGAGTACCCGATAATGTGGTGATTCAAAACAGTTAGCAGAAACTGAAAAGAAAAATGGTAGAAGTCTTGGACAGATTCTTTCACTCTTTCTTCCGTTCTGCGAATTGTGAGGGACATTATTAAAATGTCTACATTTTGCACGAAAAGGGAAGAAAGCGTTCGCCTTCATTCGACTAAGAATAATTTTGCAGTTCACGGGAACAGGAATAATTATCAGAGAGGCGCATAATATGATAATCACAAGCTTTCGTTTAGTGTGCTCATGTAAATAAACGATACAAATACAGAGAGCCTCTACTTTCGTCTGTGTGGTACCACTTTCCCGAATATATACATAGGTATGTATGTATACACCGAAATGTCAATATAGATCCACCAGGTACTCTCATTAAAGCATTCGTGCGGGCGAGTTCGCGCGACGTAACGTATCGCTTTTAATCGCTCGTACATGTACGAGAGACCCGATCCGGTTATTCGCGTCCCACTGCCGCCAAGAGTACGATTCATCGTTAAAAGCTGAGATAAAAGTGCTTATTGGAACGTGTTTGTCGAACATATCTGCGGGAACACGCTAAAGTGTTTACTACTCGCCGGAGCACACTGGAAAGAATCGGTCCAGAAAACGTGAAGGCCGATCTGATGTTTTTCTTCGCCCATTCCGCAAAACTCAAGCGTGTCCAAACATTCGTTGTTTGTCGAGCGAAGATAAATTTCTTACTCCGCTACTAAGTAAAGAGGGGATAATTGCCGAAAGGAGAAAAAAAGTTTCCTTGATTGCAAAATCATTTTTTTTTTTAATTGACTGCACAGAATTATGCAAGCTTAACCTTTAAATGAGTCTGGCCATATCATTCAGGTATAGTTTGTTTTAAACGTATTCTCAGAAAAGAAAATAAAGAGTATTATTCAGATATCCAGTCTTAAAATTCATTATTTTTGCATTCCTATATTTTATAAAGATATAATATAACATAGTATACTAGAAAAAAATATATAATTATACACCGAAAAAAAAATTAAGTTTTAATAAATATTTATTTGAATAGTTGTTTGAATTAACAATAAGTACAATTTGCTAAATATA